TTGAGCCACGTCATCAATTGTTTCCAACCATTGGTTTTTACCGTCCCGAGGACGCCAACCAGGAAGTCTACACCTTCCTAAGTGGCCTGGTTTGACTAACTGTTGTACATTTCATTGACTGGTGCCATGTTTTCGTTTGACCGCCACTAGCTCTTTTCCAGCCTGGCCCTATATCAGCAAACATTGCCCGTCAGTCGAGGAAGGCGATGGCTAGGCATACGTAACATATGTCCTAACCATCTCAGTCGATGTAATTTCACAGCCTCGTCAATTGATTTCCCCTCACACCTACCTAGCACTCAACCAGCGTCTAACCTCAATATTGCTCAACTTATTATACCACCACCTGACATGGGAGATAGAACTCAGGTGCCTATGATCAAAGACAGCTAGCCACTTTTGTGTTTTTCCACTCTCAATGGCCAGGTCTCACAGCCATAAAGGAGGACGGAGTGAACTGCTGAGCAGTACACATGCCCTTTGTTCGATAGCCAGCCGGATATCACGTCTACGCCAGAGACGGTGTAAACTGGTATATGCGAAACTAGCCCTCTGTATTCGTGTTGAGATTTCGTCAGCGATCAACCCGTTGGGGCTGATGCTACTTCCCAAGTAAGTGAAGCGGTCAACGTGCTCTACCACTTCACTCCCTATTTCTAATCTAGGGGTCGGTGTAGTCCAATCCTGTAACATCATCTTACATTTTACAGGGGCGAATCGCATACCAAACATACGAAGATTGCAGCTCAAGGTGTTCAGAAGACTCTGCTAATTTTGTCAGCGTCCTCGCCTAGAAGGACTATGTCGTCTGCATATTCTAAGTCAACGAGATTATTCCCTGGTAGCAAGTCAATCCCTGAGTCTCTGAAGTGAGTTAGGGTTAAGTCCATTAGTCCCAAACTAGGAAGAGACAGATGTTTAGTACTTCAACCTGGTTTACAACGCTTCATTATTATTATTATTCCCTTGGGTTCCCAGTGGAACATAGGGCTTCAACCGCACGCCTCCACTTGCTTCTGTCTTCTGCTGTACTTTTCACCTGCATCCATATTGGTCCATACTGCTTCATCTCCTCCTCACACGATCTCCTCCATGTCACCCTTGGACGTCCCACTCGCCGCTTCCCTTTCGGGTTCCACTCGAGCACTGGCCTGACGCGCGATGTCACCCAGCGGCCTCCTCAGCGAGTGTCCAATCCACCTCCACTTTCTCCTGCATATTTGTTGGGCGATTGGTTCTTGTTTTGTTTGTTCCCATAGTTTCTTGTTGGTGATTCTTTCCGGCGGCCATCTGATCTTCAGTAGTATAGAGCGAAGACAGTTGTTGATAAAGGTCTGCAACAGGCTGTTGGAAATATTCTTTGTGACCCGCCAAGTTTCTGATCCGTATAGAAGAAGTGACTTGATGTTTGTATTGAAAATCCGAATTTTGTTGTGATATCCGTGGGCAAACTTGAAACAAATCAGAACCTTAGAAACAAACTCTTGAAGATTAACAAACATTACTATTACACATCAAACTTACCAACTAATAAAAAAGTAAATCACATGACAAAAAAGTTCAAATTCAAAGTCAATAAAAATGATCAATAAAGATGTAAATTAACAACCAATCACGACAAAGGAGGTTGTCATGAGATACAATTATGTCGTTCATTCATGGAAAATTCAAACAAGTTCACTTCATATTAAAATTTGCTGTGAAGTGATATTGTCTAGCAGGGGACAACGAAAGCTTCGCAATTCAGTCAACCAGCTCCTCAGAGAATACAACGAAATCAACATCTCCATTTCATTTTGTCCTCTGCAGTCCTTTTCAGCTTGCTTCACGGCTGACCCCATAAGCTCTCCTTTCCTCCTTCTCAAATTATCTTCTCCATTTCACACTAGGGTCCTCAGCCAGCTCGTTGTCTTATTCCGGTTCTACTCGTGAACTGGTTAACATGTGACGTCACTCAGTGGTCGCTTCACCAACCCACACACATATCACTTGTGTGTATTCTCATGAGTGGTAACACACATAAACACACACACACCAGTTTACCCTTTGGTTGTTTACTGACTGCATCGCTGCACCATTGAACAAAGCGTAGAATGGCAGTCGACCTATACTTCAACTTCATCGACTTTGAGAAGGCTTTCGACTAGGCTGACGGCGAAGTAATTTGGAGACTAATTCAACACTATGCAGTGCACCAAGTCTTTATCAAACTCATTGAACAGCTATATGACAATGTCACTTGTCAGGTGATCCACGACAGGGAACTCAGCGAAGCCTTTGAAGTAAGACAACACTATCTATTATCACCTATGATGTTCCTAATTGTGGTGGACTGGATTATGTGGAAGACTGTGGGGGAGGGGTTAGGAGACAGGAATACACTACACTGCAGTGACCGATAAAAAGATTGCAGGAGATCTGGACTTCACCAATGAATTATGTCTAATGTCACACAAACTTGAAAAATTCCAGGAGAAAACCAACAAACTACCAGAAGAAGCCGTGAAGACAGGACTCCAGGTGAACATTGAGAGGACGGAGGTGCTAGCGACAACAACCAGCACCAATCACCATCAACGGGAAAGAGAAGTTGAAAGAGGTCACTTCCTTCACTTATCTGTGAAGCATCGCTCCAACTACAGGATGAAGATGTCAAATCCAGGCAGATCGAAAAGGCAAGAGAGATCTTCATCACTCAGAAACCAGTTTGGAGATCCTCTTCACTTAGCATAAAGCACAAGATTTGGATTTTCAACACAAATGTGAAGTCAGTCAGTCCGTTCTTCTATTCGGGTCAGAAACTTGTCGCGTGCATTATGGAAAGTATTTCCACCAGCTTGTTGCAGACTTTTATCAACAGCTGTCTTCACCGGCTGCATATTGAAGATCAAATGGCCAGAGAGAATTATCAACAAAAAGCTCCTGG